ATAAAAGAAAAAAAAGGAACTCTACTGACGAGCAAATTCAAGATAAATTTAAAATATTACTTCAGACAATAAAAGGACTCTACTGACAAACAAATTAAAAAAAAACTTTTTGATATTAGATTAGATAACAAAAAAACCTTACTGACAAGCAAATTACATATAGATAGAAAATTAGAACAAGACTCTACCGACGAGCAACCTAAATATGTAGATAGATAATTAGATAAGGACTCTACTGACGAGAGAATAATTATCTAGACAAATTAAATATCTACATAAAACTGAAAAAAGGGCTCTACTGACAAACAAATTAAATATCTAGATAGAATATGAGAACAGGAGTCGCTAATGGGGGCGTGCAAAGAGCAGTATAAGAAGGAATTCTACTGACTAGTAAATAAGATGATAAAAAGAGGAGTTGCCTTGTGAAAAATACAAATAGTACTGTATTATAATTTTTAATATATAAAATAAAATTCTTTGCATTCTTATTTTAGGAAACTGTTATTTATGCACTAATTAATTTTATAATTTAATTAATGTTTCTTTGTTTTTAGGAAAAAGTATCTGCCAGGTGTAACTCGGCACATCCAAATGACTCTTCCATAGCTTTAACTCTACATAGGCCATTGTAAGTATTCATATAAATAAATATATATATATATATATATATATATATATATACATACTTATAATAATTTATTTATATTCTAGATATCCTCCTGGAAAAATAATCCACATCGTTAGAAACCATTCAGGAGTCATCGAGTAAGTATTCGAACCAAAATTCTTATCCCACTTCTGCTTTAATAAATATTTTTAACTCTCATCCCACTTCTTCAATAATGAATATTTTATTATTATATATCTCCTAACCCTATACATATAATTTGCTTGTCAGTAGAGTCCTTTTTTAGATGACCAGATCGATTATTGTTTATTTATTTGTTCATCGGTAGAGTATTTTTTTAATATCCTAGATCAAAATCAAGTTTGTTCGTCAGTAGAGTCAGTAGAACTCTTTTTTAAAATTAAATTTGCTTGTCAGTAGAGTCCCTTTTCATTCATACAGACTATAATTAAGCTTGCTTGTCAGTAGAGTTCACATATTTATACTTCTAAATCGACATTTCAATTTTATCATCAGTAGAGTTTTTTTTCTAGTATTTAGATTAACATTAATACGTTTGCTCGTCAGTAGAGTCCTTTTTTGTCTCTTGAAGATGAATATATAATTTGGTAAATCAGTGGTGTCCCATTTAAATCTTTTAGCATCTAGATCAAAATCGAGTTTGCTCGTCAGTAGAGTTCTTTTTCAAAATTATATTTGTTCGCCAGTAGAGTCTTCTCCTCGCATCTTTTACATTAAAATCAAGTTTGGTCGTCAGTAGAGTTTTTTACTTTACAATCTGCTATTTTTCTAAACAATTTGCTCGTCAGTAGAGTCCTTTTCTTGTTTTCCATCCAAATACTAAATTTGCTCATCAGTAGAGTCCTTTTATTATTTCCATCCAAATACCAAATTTGCTCGTCAGTAGAGTCCTTTTCTTGTTTCCATCCAAATACCAAATTTGCTCATCAGTAGAGCCCTTTTATTATCTTCCATCCAAATACCAAATTTGCTCATCAGTAGAGTCCTTTTCTTGTTTTCCATCCAAATATCAAATTTGCTTGTCAGTAGAGTCCTTTTGTCATCTTTTACCTAAATGTCAAATTTGCTTGTCAGTAGAGTCCTTTTCTCATTTTTCACTTACATTTTGAAACTTATTTGCTCGCCAGTACACTACTGACGAGCAAATTAATAGAAAAAATATATAGGGACTCTACTGACGAGCAAATTTAATAAAATTTATGCTCTACTGATAAAAAATAATACAAAAGAACTCTACTGACGAGCAAATCTAGAAAAATGTCATAAAAGAACTCTACTCTGAAGAACAAGTTTGAAAAAAAAAGTGTTGAAAAGAACTTTACTGACAAAAAAAATCAGAAAAAGTGTAAAAAGAACTCTACTGACTAACGGATTTAAAAAAAAAATTAAAAGGACTCTACTGACGGGCAAATTAGACAAAAACTTTTAAAATGAACTCTACTGAAGAGCAATTTGAGAAAATGTCATAAAAGGACTCTACTGACGAGCAAATATGAAACAGATGATAACAAATAATAATAAAATTAAATTAATTGAGAAAATATTAAAAAGGGACTCTACTGACGCGCAAATCTAAAACAAGTGAGAAAAAGAACTCTACTTACTAACAAATTAATTTAAATAAATAAAGTAAAAGGAACTCTACTGACGAACAAATTCCGAAAAGAGTACAAAATGTTATGTTAGAAAAATTGAATTTTGTGCCAAACTTTTGGTAATATAATAAAAAGAGACTCTACTGACGACTCTACTTATACTATCATGTCCAAAAATCTTTAAAAAAAACTTAAAAAATATCAATAGACGACCCCTTTAATGAACCTTTACAATTCTTATCCCACTTCTGCTTTAATAAATGTCTTTCTATTCTCATCCCACTTCTGTTTCATCAAATAACTTTTAAATCTGTTTCTTTAGTACCACAAGAAGTGCTTCCAGTTCGTCTCGAGAAAAGACATTCCGTGCAGTCTGGTGTGACAATGCAGACTTCGATGAGGTCCTGATATCACCCGTAATGGTGCAGGACCATATGCCCGATCAGGTCCTGCTGGCACTCAACAAGGTGATTTTGTAGTAGTCGAAAGAAATTTGAAAGACTGAGATACATTCTTGAGATAAAAGACAGAAATTAAATAAGCCCCAAGAAATTAAATAAGCCTTCGATAAGGGTAGTCGAATGAATACTTGCATTCGATGTACTTTTAAAAGACAACATTTAATTTTATACGAAGACTTGAGTAATTAATATGAACTTGTAATTAATATGAAGTCTTAATACAAAGTGGAACACCTTCTCGATACAAAAATGTTTTGGTTTCCATTAATTGAAAGGTTACTCAAGTTATATTGCAAATTTCTTGTTATCAATATATATATTTTACTAAGCCGATTATTTTATACCGGTGGACTTTTTATTATATCTCAGGAATGTAATTTAAAGTACATTTAGTCGTATGGCTGTAAAATAGTTGTCTAATTTAGTTTTTTAGTTGAGTTTGTTTGTGTCACAAATGTTTGAGGTTATGTTCAAGTCAATATTAGTTTTTATGCTAAATTTAGCGCTTATGTAATACATTTTGCTTGTAATGTGCCAAAAATGTAAAGTTATGCTTAATTTAGCTAATATATATATATATAGTGTAAAATATGCATAAATATAACTAATTAATAATTTACAAAAGACTTACCTGCATTTTTTTTGTACTGTCAAATTTGTGCAACGATTACACAATTTAGTAATAGCACAAAACTAAGCACTACACAAGATTAAAACTTATTTAAAACACTTATTTAAGGTATCTAAACGTTGTTTTAAAACTAGTAAAAATGAATAAATGCAAATAAAATCGTTTTTAAATTTTTACAACGCAACTGTCAAACAAAAAAAGCAGCCATTTTGTGTCCTTTAAGGCATCCTGCGTCCTGATTGGTGGAAACACAGGGTTGCCTAATGGCGCGCATTACGACAAGTTTAAA